ACCCACGTCCCTTGTGAGAACTGGGAAGGACCCAGACTAGGGAGAAGCTTCAGAGAGCTAGTCTGGTGAATAAGTAGCCATGGGACCCCTGAGACACGTTGTCCCGTTAGGAAACCTAGGAGCTGTGACTCTGGCATTCAGGGGGCCGATCCATCCATCACTCTCCCCAGAACATCTGGAGAAAGACCTGTGTGCTGAAGGGGCCTTCACCTATGGGGTTCTTCCTGCCCTCTAGCATTCTCACATTAGGAAAGGGAGATGTCTTTGCGTTGCAGAGCTAGCATCAGCTTACAGCCGAAGACCAGGGTTGAGCTGTGAGCCCTTGGGTGACTCACTTCCTTGTTCTGAGCAACAATTTCCTCGTCTGTGAAATGGACTGAGCGTGCTCAGGGTTGCAGTACAGGCGAAAACAGACAGGAAGGCGCTGGTACACAGCAAAGAGCTGGGCGTGTGTCTGGAGTCATCTTGGGCCCAGCTGCTGTGTACTGGGCATCTATCTCTGCCAGTGAAAGAGTTCAAAATGATATGAGCAGTCCAAGCCTGGTGCTCAGACACTAAGCAGGGGACCAGGGTTTCCAGCTCTCAGGCCCTGTCCCTCCAGATTGTTTATGGTGGCCCAGCTCCCTCTCCAGCATCATCTACCTCCACAGGACAAGCAGCCAGCCCCTCCTCTGACCTTGGGACTGTCCAGCCCAGAAACTCCCTACTTTCTGGTCCCCGTGGTGGAGATCGCTCAGCAGGATTACAATTTGTAACCCAGTCTCCATCCCTCAAGTTCTCCAGCCCAAGTGACTGTCTGTATATTTCACCCATTTGGGGGGACACCTCCTCTCCTTTGAGAAGCTGCCAACTGCAGAGAGTGCTTCCTGTCATTGCTTGACCTTGGACAAGGCACATGATCATGATCTTCCTGGATTCAATTTCTCTAATAATGGTCCATCCGCCTTTAGGCTGTGGCCACTAAACAAGATAATTGGTGTAAGGCCCCTTGTACAATCTTGGTAGGGCTGAGCTGTCCAGTTGTTTTTTTTTTATCTATTTCATTAATATAGGACTATGTTAAAAACAATAACTCTAAACATTTTATTTGCAGACTGGGCAGTGGCAGCACACACCTATAACCCCAGTACTTGGGAGGCAGAGGCAAATAGAGCTCTGGGTTGAGGCCAGCCTGGTCTACAAGTATGAGTTCCAGGATGGCTAGGGCTACATGGAGAAACCCTGTCTCGAAATACCCAAAAAATTTGCTCATTTTCTTATTACTTTTTTTTTTGAGCGTGCACATGTAAAGATCAAACCACATGGTAGGGTCATTTCTCTTCTTCAACCATGTGGTTCCTGGGGATTAAATTCAGGTTGTTAAGCTTAGTGGCAGGGCAACTTTACCTGCTAAGCCAACTCATTAACCCCTTATTATTATTGCTGTTGGTATTTGTTCTTGCTGTTGTTGTTGTTGGGAGGGTATCACTCATGCCACAAGGACAGTTTTATGCCATTGTTTCTCTCCTTCCTTTATGTGGGGTCTGGGGAATCGAACTCAGGTCATCAGGCTTGCATGACAAGCACTTTACTCATGAGCCACCTCACCAGATGTGAGAACTCCTCTAATCATCACAAGAACCCTTGTAAGAGACAGGAAGTGTGATCTCGACATCCCACAAGCCCAGAGTGACTTTCCCAAAGTAAATGGCAAAGCCAAAATTGAGACCCTGGATCTCCTCCTCTTCTGCTTCTCATCTTTCTCCTTCCCATCCCTGGTTTTAGAACAAACTGAAGGAAGTGAGGGAGATTCTGCCCTTCCTGGGTCTAGCAGAATGGAGAGGGTACTGGGGCACAAAGCTGACAGACTCCAACTCCATAATGGACCATTGAGATGGATCTATTGTAGGACCTCCCCTTCCCAAGCAGCCTGCAGCCCCCATTTGGGGCCAGTTACCCTACAGCTAGTCAGATGTGTGCCCAGGCTCATGGGATCAAGGCAGAGCAGAGTCACCTGGAAAACAGAGGGGACTGCCCTTATCCTTGGGGGGACCTGTGGTGTAACCTGCACATCTTGTGTGCCTGCGAAGAAACCCTCTTTCTGCTCCCACGCCCTTACAGCCCAAGAACTCAGCAGAGTAGGCTGCCATGGTCCACCAGCTCTGACTGGTTGGTAGGCTTCCTCCGGGCCCGATGAAATCTCTCGAGTAATTTCCTCCCATTAGTCCTGTCTGTACCCTCAGGGCCAGTGCTCCTTCAGCCTGCAGACATCAGGAGATTGGACTCATAGCTGGAGGAGGCTCCCAGCAGGCAGAATGTTCTGGATGCTTCTGCTGGCAGCAGATAGCAGGTTCCCTACCCTTTTACCTGGTCTCCACTCTCCACCCACGATCATGGCACTGCTGCCACTTGCCCAGTTGGTGCCTGGAAAGTACCTCTAGGGGTTCACCCCAGCTTTGTCCTACTGGTTGGGAACACTGATGGTGATTGCCAATGGCCACTGTTGATGCAAGCACCTGCCCTGAACCAAGCACCCTGAGCTTGTCTCCAGCACGAACTTACCCCCAGCTTCTCAACTCTGACAGACAAGCATCATCTTCTTACCTCCACTTAAGAAGGTTCCAGAAGGCCTTGCCCACAATGTACACAAGTCAGTTCTGATGGAAAACAGCTAGTTTTGAGATTTGTATATTTGTTTGTTTTGTTTTGTTTCTTGAGACAGGGTTTCTCTTTGTAACAGCCTTGGCTGTCCTGGAACTCACTCTGTAGACTGGGTCAGCCTCGAACTCACAGAGATCTGCCTGCCTCTGCCTCCCAAGTGCTGGGACCGAAGGCACACACCACTATGAATATGTATTGTGTGTGCACATGTGAATGCCTGGGGAGGCCAGAAGAGGATGTTGACCCCGTGGAGCTGGAGTTACAGGCAGTTGTGCTCTACCCAACCTGGATGCTGGGAATAAAACTCAGGGTCCCTCTGCAATAAGTGCTCTTAACCACTGAGATATCTCTCAATTATTTATTTATTCATTCATTCATTTATTGAAACAGGGTCTCCTGTAACTCCAGGCCAGCCTTAAACTGTATGGTTGAGGAGGTCCTTGAACTCTCGATCCTCCTGTTTCCACCTCCCAAGTTATAAGATGGCAGACATGCACCACCATGCCCAGTTTATTTGATGCTGCGGATCAAATCCAGGGCTTTGAGCATGCATAAAAGTTCACTCCACCAGCCGGGCGTTGGTGGCACATGCCTTTAATCCCAGCACTCGGGAGGCAGAGGCAGGCGGATTTCTGTGAGTTCGAGGCCAGCCTGGTCTACAGAGCGAGTTCCAGGACAGCCTCCAAAGCCACAGAGAAACCCTGTCTCGAAAAAAAAAAAAAAACCAAAAAAAAAAAAAGTTCACTCCACCAACTGTGCTACATCTCCGACCCTTTTTAATCTTTAACTTTCCTTTCCCTTTCGAGACAGGGGCTTGCTCTGTAGCCCATAACTGTCTTGGACTTCCTATATAACTCAGATTGGCCTTAAACTCAAGACCTTCCTGCTTGAGACTCTTTTGCAACTGGAGTCACAGACCTGTGCCACTATGTCAGGCCAGAATGCAGCTATTGATCTCCAAGAGGCAAAGACACAGCAACCAAAGGACAGGAGACTCGAGGATCAAACCAAGAGGCTGGGATGGCCTGAGTGTCTCCAGTGCAGAGGCCAATGGGATCCCTGAAGGGAAAAAGGACCACTGCAGACCTGCAAAGGTGGGAGGCTTTTGAAACAGGACAAGACCATCAAGGACAGAGACCTCTCAGACTCCGCAGAGATACCAACTAACAAACGGAAATGCTACCGCAGTATCCCAAGAAGTTGAAAACCATGCTGGACCTTTGTGCAATGGTTGCATCCTCTGGTGGAAAGCATTTATTAGTTGCACCACTATTCATGGGTCCTATTTCTACCTAGAAAGGTCCACTGGAGTCAGTGAGATTGCACAGCCAGTAAAGATGCTTACTCCTTAAGCCTGGTGATTAGAATTCAACCCTACATACTCAAAAAATGTGAAGAGAAAGAACCAATTCTATAGCGTTGTCCTCTGATCTTTGAGTGTGCCTTATAGTATGCACACACACATACACACACACACACAATAATAATAATAATAACAACAACAACAACAACAATGAGTTCAATTCCCAGAGCTCACATAGTGGAAGGAAAGAACTAACTTCTGCAGTTTGTGAACAACATTTAAACACTAGCACCCTGCTCACACAAAATAAATAAAACAAATTTAACAGTATTAATAAAAACAAGGAAGCAAGCAAGCAAACAAACAAAAAACCAACTACTAGAGCCACTAAGATGGCTCAGTGAGTAAACGGTCACTGTGTATGCTTGGTGACCTGAGTTTAAATCCTTGGAACACATGTAAAAAAGACAGATGGGGTGGCACACATATTTAATTCCGGGACTCCTGTGGTAAAACAGGGAACAGAGACAGAAGAATAAGTCAAAAGCTCCTGCAGGGTGGTGGTGGCACACACCTTTAATCCCAGCACTTAGGAAGCTGTGAGTTTGAGTCCAGCCTGGTCTACAGAGTGAGTTCCAGGACATCCAGGACTGTTACACAAAGGAACCATGCTTTGAATCCCTCTCCCCACCCAAACAAAACAAAACAAAACCTCCAAGGCTAGCCATCCTGGAGTACATACAACATCAGAAATGGCAGATCCTGCCTCAAAAACAAAATGGAAGGAGAAAACCAACTCAGCATAGCACCCCCTCTGATAAAAATACTAAAAGAATAGTGATCTAGGGATAACTGAAGACCAGGCTGGCCTTGAACTCACAGAGATCCTACTGCCTCTGCCTCCTGGGATTAAAGGCATTGAACCACGTGGAACTGGAGTTATAGACAGTTGTGATCTACCCAGTCTGGACGCTAGGTGTGCTGGCTAGTTTTATGACAACTTGACACAAGCTGGATTTGTCTGAAAGGAGGGAGTCTCAATTGAGAATATGCCTCCATAAGATCTGGTTGTAATTAATTAGTGATTGATGGGGGAGGGCTCAGCCCACTGTGGGTGAGGCCATCCCTAGGCTGGTGATTTTTGAGTTCCATAACAAATCAGGCTGAGGAAGCCATAATGATCGAGCCAGTAAGCAGTCCCCTTCCACGCCCTCTGCGTCAGCTCCTGCTCTAAGATCCTGCTCTGCTTGAGTTCCTGTCCTGACTTCCTTCAGGGATGGACTGTGATGTGGGAGCCTGAGCCAAATAAACCGTTTCCTCCCCAACTTGCTTCAGTCACGGTGTTCATCACAGCAACAGAAGCCCAAACCAGGAGTGGTGGAAATCCAGGAGAATTGATAAACATCTGCCCCCCCTGCTCCCCCGCAAGCGTGAAGTCCAGGATTCATTCCCAGTACCACATAAAAGCAATGGTGTAGGTCTGCAAGCCCAGTATTCAGAAAGAGTGGGAGCTGAAGGTCATTCTTGGGTACCTAGGCAAAAAAGGAGAGAAAATAAATAAAGATCTTAAACTGGTGTGGCAGATCACGCATACCATCCCAGCCTTCCGGAGGCTGCAGTAGGAAAAATTCAAGCTTCTGGCCAGCCTGGGCTTTGTAGTGAGTTCCAAGTCAGTGTACATTAGATAGGAGAGTTCTGTCCACACCAAACAGACAGACAGACTGACAAATACCTAGTGATTCCTCTTGCTTTGTGAGGCATTCCTACTTCAGGAGGCCTAGGAAGCCCAGATCAGTGTTGATGTGAGTATTTCTCTCTTGAAGTTGCAGGCAGCTCCCACATCCAGGCAGGGGCTTGGCACACCCCTGTCTCATAAAGCTGCTTGACTTTTAGCTCTGGGCTCACGGCTGTGGACCCCTCATTGCATCCCTGAAACCATGTAAGGGATACCTGCAGTTTCTGGATAATTCTGGGTCCGGAGAACACAGAGAAATTACTTGGACTTGCACAACAAGCCCCTGGTAGATTGGGGATACCGGACCTATCCAGTTTTTGAGTGGCAAGTGCACACAGCAAACACCCCAGGCTTACCTTGCTGTCTCTGACCCAGATAATTCCTTCTGAGTGAATTCCAGATACATTTGTTGGGAATCCAGTATGGAATTTGGCCTGTGGAAAAGAGTGGTAACAGCCCTCTGAACCTGTGAGACATATTTCTTAATCCCCCATCTTAGGCCAAGTTCTTTTGGGTTTCATCAGGACAAATTACATAGTTAAAATAGCTTTATTTATTTATTTTGCTTTCGTCAGGGTCTCACTGTGTATCTGTCTGGCCTGGAACTTGCTCTGTAGACTAAGCTGGCCTCAAACTGGCAGAGATCTACAGGTCTCTACCTCTTGAGAGCTGGATTAAGGTCATGTGCCACCATGCCCAGCCATTATGCTGTTTATAAGTTTTTGGTATTGCATAAAACCACCACTATCTCCTCCTCCTCTCTATATTGGGCACTGGACCCAAGGCCTCCCCTCAGGCATGCTAGGCAAGTGATTTCCAAATGAGCTGTACCTCCAGTCACTCCATGTGCTTTTTGAACTTTTTAAAGACAGGATCTTGCCAAGTTTCCTGTCCTGTACTTGAACTCACTATGTACCTCATGCTGGTCCTGAACTAGCCATTTTCCTGCCTTAGTCTCCCAAAAGCAGGTATTATAGCATGATCTAGCAAGCCAGCTTTCTTCCTTATATATTTTTTTCATTATAGTTTTTTTTAAATACAAGATCCCATGTGGCTGGGCGTTTGTGGCACATGCCTTTAATTCCAGCACTTGGGAGGCAGAGGCAGGTGGATCTCTATGAGTTCAAGGGCAGCCTAGCCTACAGAGTGAGTTCCAGAACAGGCTCCAAAGCCATACAGAGAGAGAACCCCTGTCTCAAAAAAAAACAAAAAAAATCTCATGTATTCCAAGCTGTTCTCTAACTGCCTATGTAGCCAAAAATGACTCTAAACACACACACATACACACATACACCCCTTAGTTTATATACGTAGGGACATTTTGCCTGTGCCTATGTCTGTGTATCATGTTCATGTTTGGTGCCAGCAGAGGCCGTGAGAGAGTGGCCTGAAATTGGAGTTACAAATAGTGTGAACTATCTGTATGTGCTGGGAACCAAACTGGGGTCCTCTAAAACAGCAGCCGGTGCTTTATTGGTGTTTTTGTTGATTTGGTTTGGTTTTTTGAGACATGGTTTCTCTGTGTAGCCCCCTGGCTGTTCTGGAACTCACTCTTGTAGCTCAGGTTGGTCTGGAACTCAGAGATCCGCCTGCCTCTGCCTCCCAAGTATGGAATTAAAAGGGTGCACCACCACTGACCAGCGTAGTCACTGCTTTTAACCAGCACTCACTCTTTAAAAGGTGTGTGTGTGTGTGTGTGTGTGTGTGTGTGTGTGTGTGTGTGTGTGTATAGCCCAGAAGACAACCTCAAAGATCATTCTCAGGAAACATCAACCACCTTAGAGACAGGATGTCTCATTGGTATGGTGCTTACCAATTAAACTAGAATGACTGCCCAGGAATCATCAGCTTATGTGGTGCTGGGGACTAAACCCACAGAGTGTGTCACATGCTCAGCAAACACTCTACCCACCAAGGTACATCCTGGTCCTCATCCTTCTCTATGAGGGAGAGAAATCAATCCTTACCACTTATTGCTCCATTTCTAGGCAACCGCATGATGCCACTGTGCCACTGTGGTGTGCGCGCCACACAATCCCTCCTTACACACACAGCCCCTTATGCACACACCCTTATATGCACATTCCTTCTTACACACACTCCCTTACACACACATCCCCCTTATACACATACCCTCACTCATTCCTCCTCCTCCTCCTCTTCTTCTTCTTCGACAGGGTTTCTCTGTGTAGGTTTGTAAACCGGCTGGTCTTGAACTCACAGAGATTCACCTGCCTCTGCCTCTGGAGTGCTGGGACTAAAGGTGTGTGTCACCATTGCCTCACTCACACATCACTTCTTACACACACCCTTACACACACATTCCCCTTACACACACATCCCCTCTTTGTTTGTTTGTTTGTTTTTTTGAGACAAGGATTCTCAGTATTGTTTTGGAGGCTATCCTGGAACTCACTCTGTAGACCAGGCTGGTCTCGAACTCACAGAGATCCACCTGCCTCTGCCTCCCCAGTGCTGGGATTAAAGGCGTGTGCCACCAATGCCCGGTCCACACATCCCTTCTTATACACACCCTTATACACAAACCCTTACACACACACACACTTACATATACATATCCTCTCTTGCACACACACATCCCCCTTACACACACATACCTTTACATATACATCCCTCCTTAAACACACACTCTTACACACATCCCCCTCACACACACATCCCTCCTTTTACACACACCCTCACATACATCTCTCCTTACATACATCCTACACACACACACACACACACACACACACACACACACACACACACACACATCCTTACACAGAGACAGAGACTACACAGTTTCCAGAGAGTTTCTAGAAACAGACCACAGTCTGCCTCAGGGACTGTGTCCAGCTCTGTCCCTAGAGAAGCTCGCCCGTGGGGGAGCTGTTCTGCCTGGAGCCTGCAACTCCCCTGCAGGCAGCTCCTGGCAAGTCCCAGCAGGATGGCAAGTGGGCTGGCAGGCAGGAAGAGGGCTGCTCTCTGCTTGCCCCTCAGCCTCCCTCCCTGCTGTAATTTACTCAATCCATCTGGGGCTCCTTTGAGCCATTTTCTGGAAATGCCACATTTCAAGGATCTCCCTGTTAGAAAAGGTCAGAGAGTTCACAGGGGCCTTTCATGTTAAAGGAACTTGAAAGGAAAGGAGAGGAAATGTGTATTTTCAGTCTTAGCTATGATTAAGTGGGCTCAGGCCATGAGAACAGTCAGATGATTTACATGGCATTACATGAAGAGCCAATTAGCCTAACAACTTCCGAAAAATATCGAGCTCACGAGCACCCATTTATTAGTGCCTTGGAATGTGCCAGGCTTTGTGTGTAGCTCTTTACTAGGAGACAGTGATTCACCCAGCCCCACGCTAGCATGAGGGAGAGGCAGGCCCAGGTCAACGCCTGTTCCTCTCATGACGATGCTGAGGTTCCGAAGCCAATGATTTGTCCCTGACCCCACAGGGTAGAGACTCCAGAGCTTCATTTCTCCGCTGTCTAGCCTGAAGGGGTCCTTTGACTCCAGCCTCTGAGGCCCACCGAGTTCACCTGGTTCATTTGCATAAAGATGAAGTCTCTTTTGCAGTCACCACCCATGGCTCGGCCACAGAAAACTTGGATCTCCCCCACAGCTGGTCCGGTCCTTCAACCCTCTGGAACTTCCGAGGGAGTCGCCACCAAAGGGCTTGGCCACTGAGACACATCACTCTGAGAGATCCCCTCACCGGTTTGAGACAGGATCCTATGTCATAGGCCCAGCATGACCGTGAACTTCTGATTCCCTGCATATATCCACTGAGTCCTGGAACCACAGGCACAAGCCACCACCCTCAGTTTCTATGGGTCAGACCCAGGCCTTCACACATGCTAGGCATTCTTCCAACCGAACCACATCCCACTGTAATCACCTAGTCCTCTCCCTCGTCCTTCCATGAAATAAGAATCACCCCAAATCGGGATCTTCTGTTAGCGATAGCTGCTTCCTCAGCATTTTGTTTGCCAATGCCACACATCAAATACGAAGTTCCTTCCCAGCACTCGGGAGGCAGAGGCAGGCAAGATGCCACCCAGATCTCTGTGAGTTTGAGGCCACCTTGGTCTACAAGAGATGTTCCAGGACTTCCAGGGTACACAGAGAAACCCTGTCTTAAGGGTGGGGGTGGGGTGAGGGGAGCTCCTCTGGGATCCTACTGGAATATAAGTGTGGTGGTCAGGTGTGGGTTATGGTGTCTAACCACCAGGAACTGGAAGCTCAGCTCAGCACCCTCATATTGAAGCTGTGACACCTTGAGTGACTCAGGCAACCTCGCTGAGCTTTAGTTCCCTCATTAGTAAAATGGGGACGATTGTTCCCATGTCACAGGGTTCAGTAATGATTAAATGAGTATGAAGCTCCTAAGGATGCTGGCACACTGTAGTCACCTAGTATATGAAGCCATCTGTCAGGTGCTGATCAAAGAAGCAGTGCTATCTGGGCAAGGGGCTCCTGCTACCTATTTATTTGTTTTTATTTTCTTCAGATAGAATCTCATTACATAGCCTAGGCTGGATTAGCTCTGTAAATCCTGGGGCTTTCCACACCCAGACGAATCACACACACACACACACACACCCCACCTCACCCACCCCAACGCCATGCTGACCCCTTCAGGTCTCTTGGTCCCACCTGTACTCCTGCCACCGTCGTGGGGGAGCACACAGTGGCGACTCCTCAGCAAGCCTTTAGACTGCTCAGTGTGGATGTAGAGAAGACTGAGCCCTTTTACCCCTGTCCTCCCCTTCCTCACCCCTTCTCACCCCCTTCCCATGCTCACCAGATCGGGTGAGGCTGAGAGCCCAGGATCCCTCAGGGCAGTGGTTCCCAGGCTTGGGGGATTTCACAGCTCTATAAAGTCATCCAAAGACACTTGAGGGTGGGAGGGTGAACACATCAGGAAAAAGTATATTTTCTTTTGCCAAATAAGGGCATATAAAAAATTCCCTTTTCGCTACCGTTTGAAGACAAGCTGCTTACTGCACCAATGAAGTAGAAAGACCTTGCTCTTTGATAAAAGGGCAATGCCAAGTTGGGAAAAAAATTAGCCTGCGGCGGGGGTGGGGATCACATCTCTCCTTCCCTGACTTGTCTTCTTGGATAGAGAGAAATTTGGTCCCCAATGGCCTGCATCAGTTGGGAGCTCATAGTATGCTAACCAGCATGGAAGCAACTTTGCCTAAACTGGAGTCGTTCAGGAGGATTCACAGTGCTTACGATGATCTTAATTTCTCAGCAACTTTCTCAGAAAGGTGGTCATCCCAGAACCAGACCCGACAACCTCAGAGCTGAGGTCAGGGAGGTCTCGCCCCGGGATCTTTCCTCTCCTGTCTCTTTCCGTTGGAGCTCCTGCCCTGCCCCCAGTCTTGAAAGGATGGGGTCAAAATCAGCAGCAAGCTGGCACCTGCGGGAGGAAGACTCCAGAGGCTCCAAGGACAGGATCCGCACCGCGTCTCTATTGCCAAGCTGAGCACTAATGGCCAAGTCCCTCAGCTCTGGGGAGGGAGAAAAAATGGGCATCCCAACCGGGAGCTGGAGGACCCAGAAGCCTCGCTGGCAGGGCGCTGATAGGATCTGAGCGCTGAGAAGCAAGGCCCTGTCTCTTTGATCCTTGGCCAGGCAGGCTGGGCCTGGACCGGGAGGGGCGGTGCGGCTGTCTTCCGGCCGGCTTTGCGCCGCTGCCAGGAGTCCTTTGAGGCCCGGAGCCGGAGAGGCGGCTAGTGTCCTCCTCCACAAATTGCCCTCTGTTCCAATTGCTCTCGCAAGAGGTGCTTGGGGCGGAGGTGTGTGCGCCCTCAGTTCACTACATCACTTTCCAAAGGGTCCAGTGTCTTGCAGAAACAGTGGCCGGTGAAGGCCATCCGTGTCCTGGAGGTCCGCATGGATACGGCCCTGAGTGAGAAGGAGATGCCACTGAAGCCACGGCCCTAAGTAGCCTCAGAGTCAATGGGCTCTGGGATGCAACTTCCCGTATTGAACTGTTGCCTAAAGAGCCCAAGACCGAATCACGTGGCTCACGTGGCCACCGGAAGTCTCAGTTCCTGGGCAGCAGGTTCTAGGAATCGAACTTAGTTGGAAAAGTCTTAGCGGGCTGGCGAGTGGCTGGAGAACCCACATGAGTAGCCACGGTCCTTCCTCGTCCTCTGTGTCTCGGAGCTGCCACATGTCATATATTTTCAGTATTGAAGTTGTGCATGCAACAGGCGCTCAATAAACTTGAGGCGCGAATGCTTGTGTCTATGTTGGCGGGAGGTCTGGAATAAGGTCCCCGGTCGGCGCAGGGATGGTGAAAGAGGCAGAGGTGTGTGTGGGGGTGGATGGGTCCATCCTCCAGCAGCCCGGGCCCTAGGAAGCCTCCAGATCAGGCACAAGACGGTGTTCACACTACGGTTACAAGCCACCCACACCACCCACGGGTCTAAGGAACCGCATTCTCTGCAGCTGAAAGAGAAACTTGGGCGCAAGTTGCGGCTGTCTTATAGGTAAGGAAGCAGAGTCCTACAATTTCGGGACAGATTTCATGCTGGGAAGAGCGCGAGGAGAGCTAGCCCTTTAAGACTATGCCCAATAGGCCTGTCCGGGTCTCTCCAGGGAGAGGAGGGCGGGGCCTGCAGTTAGCTCCTCCCATCTCGGCCCCGCCCCGGCGCCCGTCCCGCCCCCGGCTCTCTGCCCGCGGCGCCTTTGATGTTCCGACCCGCCAGCTCCCGAATCGGCTGTGCCCCGCGCCCACTGGCCGCTCAGGCGGAGTCAGCGCGCGCTCCGCCCGCCGCGCTCCGGGCTCGGAGCTCCGCACCCTGGGCTCGCCGCCTCCCGCGCCCCGCACCCTGCGCCCCGGCGGGCGCAGCGCACCATGCCGCAGCTGGACTCGGGCGGGGGCGGTGCGGGTGCAGGCGACGACCTCGGCGCGCCCGACGAGCTTCTGGCCTTCCAAGACGAAGGCGAGGAACAGGACGACAAGAGCCGCGACAGCGCCGCGGGCCCCGAGAGGGACCTGGCGGAGCTCAAGTCCTCACTGGTGAATGAGTCCGAGGGCGCGGCCGCAGGCGCCGGGGGCGCGGGTCCCGGCGTCCGGGTGCATGGAGAGGCCGAGGGAGCGCCCGAGGTGAGCCCGGCCCGCTCCTCCCCTGAGGGCCTTGTCCCTGGCTGGGATCGTGCGGACCCGCCCCCCGCGCCCGCGGCCCTCGTGGGTCCCATCCCTGGATCCCCTCGTGTCTCCTCCACCCCTCACGGTCCCTCTTCTTTGCTCCGCAGGCCCTGGGACGAGAGCACACTTCGCAGAGACTTTTCCCGGACAAACTTCCAGAGTCCCTAGAGGACGGTGAGTTCTGCGCGGCTCGGGAAGGCGCTAGAACTCGGGGTGGGGGAGTGGGGGGCGGGTTTCCCGGGCGCCGCTGAGCTAGAGTCACTTCCGGTGCCCTGACCTTTATAGGAGTAAACAGACCCCCGCCATCTCCGCCTCCCCTCCAGCCCAGGTGACTGACTAATCCTTTGCCTTGAGGAGCCAGCCTTGGCTAAGGTTCCCAGGCGAGAGGGCGGGGTGAGAAGTCAAGTCCCGGCCGGCCGCTAAGTGGAGGCCTGGACTCTGGGTCTTTACCCCAAAACTTGGCATTGCGGATAATCTCACCCGTTCGCCTATCCCCGTTCCCTATCAAGTCACGAACTTGAAGGGGACCCCCTTGGCAGTTTTTTTGTTTTTCTTTTGATCAGACAGTTTTCAGCCCTTAGGAGCAGCTGGCTGGGCTGGTGTCTGACCCAGCTGTGGTTTTTCCAGGCCTGAAGGCCCCGGAGTGTGCCAGCGGCATGTACAAAGAGACTGTCTACTCTGCCTTCAATCTGCTCATGCACTACCCATCGGCCTCCGGAGCAGGGCAGCACCCCCAGTCTCAACCCCCGCTGGTAAGTGACCCCAGCAGTCTGGCCCTGTAATGGGCCGGCTACCTCCTTGTCTATGCAGATGAAGCTTGGACAAAAAAGGACTTCTGCCCAGATGAGAATTCCTAGATGCGCTTTTCCCACGCACACTCAGTGGAGTCTAACCCCAAAGGAGAACTCTGAAGGGGTGCCTGGGCTCCCAACCCTCTCTTTCTCACCTGCTGTTGGCCTATGTCCTCTCAGCTTGCTCAAGCAGGTGCCGGTGTTGGACTGTGCTGGGGTCGGCGGTCGGGGATCAGGGTCTTCTGAAAACTGTTTTGAGTTTCCCTAGCGTGTTGTGCATACCCCGAGCAAGAGCTTTGCGTTAGCTTTCTCCAGATAAGCAAGGGGGCCCCGGAGAGTAGAAGGGGTAGACCTAATCTTTTCCATTTCCTACATGTGTCTCAGGAGCTACCTTCCCTGGTCAACTGTCCTTACCGGCGATACATAAGCCTTGCTAGGGATCCTTGGTTTTGAGGTGGCTGGCCTGGCCTCACACACACCAGGAAGGGTTTGATAAATGTGCTACAAATCAAGGGTGTTGGTTAGGGGTCAGCTGCATGAGTTAGTGTCAGGCCTTGTGGCATGGTTGTGCTCATCATGACCCAGACCTTTGGCCCTTAGCTGTAGGTAAAGAACGAGTTGCTGGTTCTGAGCTGGGTACCAGCAAAACGCCACCTTTGAAAAGTCCCTACCAGGCTTCCAGGCTGTGCTCAGTTGGGGGCTAGGGTGTGTGGAGAGCATGGATGTCTAGTGGTTATAGCCGTAAGCCCAGTGCAGGTGGGGGCCCAGGCTAGAGGCTCTGATGGCTCGTGGCAGGGTCCATTCGGAAGACAGGATGCTCTGAAAGCAGCTTCCTATTGAAGCGGATGGGAGGTGAGACGGTAGATGCAGGCTGTTCTCCAGAAGCAAGCTTTGGCTAAGTTCACTGCCTGGAGGGTGGAGTAGGGGGTCTGGGCCACTTGGTGGCAGAGGGAAACCTGGTCCACTCTAGAGATGGACTTCCCGTTCTTCACCTGTAAGCTCTGCATGTCAGCCGTGTGGTCTGTGCCTGCCTTTCTGCTCTGGGGTGACTTGGTATATGAGGTGCTTCTCTTGTATGTGAAGGGGTGGCTGACTCTCAACACTGCCACTTGCTCTAGGGACTTGTGCCTTGAAGATAACCTTTTAAAATCCCCAATGGGTGTAAAGCTATTGATCTGGGGGCCAGTTGGCATAATCTACCACTTTGAAATCACTGGCAAGCATTACTTGGGCTGGGACTAGGTTCACTGTGGTAACTGTGACTTGAGCTAAGACTAGGTTCACTGTGGTAACCTAGGTTTTAAGGACAGCACAGCAGTACAGGGAGAGGGCAGTGTGATTTTGGGGTTTACTCACAGATTGAGCCAGAGACAGGAGACATCTAGGGGTGCCAGCATTGGGTGGAGGGGGCTATTCAGTCTAAGGGTATGGGTGATGGGACTCAGAGAGGCCCAAGAGCAGGAGAACAGCGGGTTCCCACAGTCACGACCAGCAGCACTCGCCTGGCTTAGGGCTGGTGCGGATTTTGCTTTGGAGTCCTCAAGCTGCAACCGATGGATATCTATGTGTCACTGTCCCCTGCCTTCCTTCTCAGCCACTGTCTTCGTCACTGTCTTCTGGAAACACCAGAGTGGGAGGACAGGCTCTGGTGCTGGCTTTCTTGGCCATGGCATCAGCGACTGAGCAGGGCTAGAAAGAGAGAAGCAGGGACTTGTGTTGGAGGGATGCTGGGGCAGGGAGATAGACGTGCATGAGTGTAGAAAGACTATCTTATTTATTACATGCATGTGCATGTGTGTAATGTATATGAGGGCATGCACATTCAGGATAACTCAGTGAAGTCTGTTCTTTCCACTTTGACATGGGTTCTGAGGATGGAACTCAGATTGTCAGGCTTGCACAGTGTTTTTAGCTGCTAAGCCATTGTCCTGGCCTAAGAGAGACACCCCCCCCCCTCTCTGGACAGAGTTTCTCTGTGTAGCTTTATAGCCCAGGCTGGCCTCAAACTCCCAGAGATTTGCCTGCCTCTGCCCCCCCCCCCCGCTGGGACTAAAGGCATTCACCAACACCGCCCGGCATGAGAGAATCTCTTAAGCAAACCTGATAGAACACATAACAAAAGGTTTAAAAAAAAAAGTAAAAGTAGCTTGCAACCCGTGAAGAACTATGTGGGTGTTTCAAGTAGAATTTGGTTTTACAAAGCAAAGTTGCTCATCCCGTGGTTTGGGAGCCCATTTGTCACCTGACTTCAAGGCTCGCTTGTGTGGTGCTGGGAAAGACGCCCTCATTCTCCTAACAGGTAAGGAGTGCCTTGCAAGGGCCCTGGGGCAGGAAGTCCTTTGCCAAAGCTAATCCTTTCCCACACTCCTGTAGCAATACAGACAGTAAGCTGTTTATGCCCTGCCGACTGGCCGTGAACATAGACCTCCTCTCTTTTTGCCCAGCCTTTCCTGAAGGCATACAGGACATCAGTGTTATGTTGAGATGCCCAAGACCAATGGGTAGGCCTCCCTTGGTATCATGGAAAGCCTGATCCAGGACCTTCTCTGCCCATGTGGCTACCACATTGGAGGGAGACATCTTAAACAGGCCAGCTGGGGCCTTGCCCAGAGCAATGAGCCAAATGCCTGACTCACAGCCAACTGCCATGGAACACAGACTCTCACCCCCTGCCCAAGTAGCTTTTTTGGTGTTTTGGCTTCTTCTTCTTTTTTTTTTTTTAGTTTTTTTTCCGGACAGGATTTCTCTGTATTGTCTTGGAGGTGGTCCTGAAACTCACTTTGTAGACCAAGCTGGCCTCGAACTCAGAGAGATCCGCCTGCCTCTGCCTCCCGAGTGCTGGGATTAAAGGCGTGCGCCACCAATGCCCGGCTGTTTTGGCTTCTTTTATACCTTCTCTCGGAATGGGAAATTGGTCAAAGCTGACTCCTCAACCGGTGCTGGTGGGGTATCTCCTGTTGACTTGTAGGCAGTTAGTGGTCCAGACCAATAGCTAGGGATTGTGTGGGGTGTTTTGTTTGTTTCTGCGTTCATGTATGTGTATGTATACATGTATGCTGCTGCATGTGTGTCGGGGTCAGAGAACTTGGGGGAGTTGTTTTTCTCCTTCTGTGTGTGTTCCAGGGATCAAACTCAGGTTGTCATGTAAGGCTTGGCAGCAAGCGTCTGCAGAGGCAGGCGGATCTCTGTGAGCTGGAGGCTAGCCCAGTCTACAAAGCTACACAGAGAAACACTATCTCAAAACACCAAAAAAAAAAAAAAAGTGGTATGTTTTATGGTATGTGAGTTATATCTCAACTTGTTTTTTTTAAGCTGAGGCTTTTGTCCATGGCAGAGGTCACATTTCCCTGTCCCCAGTCCCCACAGCTCTCTGATACTTGTATATGTGTTCATCTGGTGAGCTTAACAGCTGTTCCTGTTTGGAGAATGAAGGGAGACGCAGGACTCATCCTTGGGCTCCTGGGCTCCCCTCTGTTCCTGCATTGAGGTCCAAGGTGCAGTGAACCCTTGGTGGAGCAGGAGTGAGAGGTTAAGCAGGACCCCTGGGAGCCAAGGAGGGAGGTACTCTTACCCTGTGTACTTCCTGTCAGAGCTGAGTGAGGAGAAATGCCATCCAGCCTTCCCCACGGAGAGGGTTTGCTGCAAGACTTAGTGGTGGTCGGGCACCAGTCTAGGTCATAGTGAAGCTTATTAGGGAGAGTTAGGTGGAGTTTGGCACCAGGATGCACATGACCATATAATCACAGTTGTCCTGGGGAAGACCCAGCTATGGCTGTAAGGGATTCCAGTGAGCAGCATTGAAAGCCACTGGTTGTTCACCAGAAGAAGACAAGGAAGGGCCCAGCATGCACTTGGGCCTCCCTCCAGACAGCTATGTGGATCAGGGATGTGTCCCCAGATACATCTCAGACCTCTCCATCCTTTACTTTGTCATGCCGCCCGCCCAGTACCCACCCTGTTGCTGTCTTTTAGATGGCAGTCGATGCTTCCTCCAGGGTCCCCTTTCCTCCCTCTCCGTCCCCAGCCCCATACCTTGACCAGCAGTCACGTAGAAGTGAAAGGGTTTCTTAGGAGCCAGGGCCAGACCTTGCCTCATTGGACCACCTGGGACTTGCACTGCTCGTGGAGGAAAGTCTACACTGTGTACCCCAGCTTGAGTGCTGAGGCTCCCCATGTCCTCTTCCTGCCCTCACAGTAGTCAGCTCTGTGTCCTTGTGGGGCCCACACCTAGAGACCCCCCTTACCTCTAACTGTCACACTCGTGCCCTCAGCTTGCCGTCTCTTCCCCAGGTCATCACGTGGGTTCCACCTTCTCATTCAGGGCTGACTTCAGGTGTCTGCTCCAGGAGCTCTCGACAGTGGGGCTTCCGGCCTTGGCTACCTCGTTCACCCTGGCAGCTCATCAGACCAGGGCAGTGGGTGCTGCTCTCCAGGGCACCTATGACCTTCTGTTAATGTCTCCTGGTTTCCTATTGGACAGTGGACTAGCAAGCACCCTTCTAGAAGTAGAGTGAGGATTTGCAACTTTAGGGCAGCTGGGTCAGGTATTGGCCATGGTTGATCTTGGCTCTCCTGGGCCCAGGGGTGGCTCATGGACCTTCCATAGCTTCCCATCTAGAGGGCTGTGCTTTCTCTTCAGGCTGGAGAGATCTGATTGTCTGAACCCTGAAGGTATAGGGCTCAGGCTGCCAGGCTCCTACCCTGCACCTGCCCTGCCCTGGGTTCTTGGGTGGGATGTGCTATTCCTGAAAGCCCCCCCCCCATAAAGGTTTGGTCCATACAAAGCCCTCATTCAGAATCTGAGGACATCAGTTTTGGTGTGGAAAAGGGAGAAGAGATTTCCCGTCTTTGGCTGTTGAGCCATTGTCAGCATTGCACAGAGGCTCCTGGTTTGTAGCTCTGGGAGTGTAGCCCCAGGCAGCGCCCATGTGTCTTCTTCCAGTTCTTTACCTCGGCATCCG